GAAAATTATTAATTTATCAGAAACAATTTCAGTGGTTTATTTTGTTTGTTTTAATGGAAAAGCACCTGATTTCTACAGATTTTATCAACAGTCTTATTAACACTCAGTAACCAAAAACATAAAGACATGCAGAACTGCTCAGTCCTGAGATCCAGTTTGGACCTTGTTGTAAGGCATATATATAACATAACTGAAATTAAGATACTAGAGCTTGACAGAGAAAGAGACATACTAAACAGACAACAAAATGAACAGTAAAAGTAAAGCAGATATGGTGAGTTTTGTGCTCAAGGATCATCTTGTCGAGGCTTGAAGTCATACAAAGCTAGTAGATTCACCCTCCAAAAGCAGGAATTGCATCATCTGCTGAAGACCAAAACCAGGGAGGCTTAAATTCCCATTTTGCAGAGCAACTTTCAGGTAGGCAAGGGAAAGAAAAGAGCTCCTCCCTACACCCTGGCTATACATGACCATCATCTGTAATCCTGCTGAGCAATGGGGGCATATACACTATCAAAACCCATCTTTGTTGTATGTTTGTATCATTATATTCACATGCTGAAGTGCAGGGTTATAGTAATATAGCACAACCCCACTTCTGGCAACAATAGTATAACCCCAGGGAAATATCATGGTGATGTGAAAATGTTCCCATTGAGATCCTCCAAATAGTCTCTCCAAAGCAGGGAGCAGGAACGAGCTTTGAAAACTATGATCAGAAGTGCCAATGTTTCACATATATTTTCATCTAGGACCTTTTGAGTTGTATAGGGTCATATGTGTAGTTGAGGATCACAGCCATCTTCTGCCCATAGGCCAACCTTTAAATTCCCCTCATTGTAAGCTCTTGGACACTTTAACTTGGCGACTGTAAACATTTTGGTATGTGCTGGTTCAGTCTGGAAGGCTAGTCTTTTTATTGTAAGATTAAGACAGGGAGAAAAATAGCAATTAGGTGTTTGTGGTTTCATCAGTAAACTAATTCATCCTCTTTCAAATGCAACAATTATATATGATAGAACACTTTTTTCCCAGTGTATGCTGCTGAGTGTGTTTTTAAGAGTGTCTCTGAGTTGCACCAACACCAAGGATAGTCTAGGCTTTCTCTGAGGTTGCTAACTGTACTTCTGCTGAATACATCAGACCTTTCCTCTTGATTCTTTTTATTTAATGGAGGAAATTCTGCTTTTTTTTTTTTTCTGTAAAAGTTTAAAAGCATTACATTTCGGCTTTTAAATCTTGATTAGGATCATATTAAAGGAAGCAAATTCCATTCACGAAGCCAAAGCATTTTGGAGAAAATAAAAAAAAAAAATAAAAAAAAAAAAAAAAAAAAAAAAAAAAAAGCTCCCCTTTTATCCCCAATTACTTTTCTCCTGTAACATGAAAATACAGAGGTATATTTCCTCTGTTTAAGTGTTTCTTTCTTTGTTTTTCAGCACACTGTAGTGGAATTTTTATTCTTGACTTTAATTTCAGAAAAACACTCCAGTGGTTATTTTTTGTTGGGATTTTGGTTTTTGGCAGAAGAGTGAAGACAAATGAAATCAAAGCTAAACAGAAAAGCATTCTCCAAGACACCGCACATACTGTACATGCCAAACCCAAGAAAGGTCCTCCATTGTTACTTCTCCTGTGAGCACAGAAAACCCAGGTAGTTTTAGGTAGGTCAGTTAGGGCTGTATCTCACTTATACATCACAGACTTCAGTATGAGAAAAGAAAGATCCGTTTTCAACAATATCTTTTTTTTAACATGAAACAAAAATAAAATATCACACAGAGAGAGAAATTTTGGCTCTCCAAAGGAAATTAATTTGAAAAAGCTGTTTCTGGTTAAGTGCATATATGTTTATTCATCTCTCCAGAATAATGTAGAAACCTCTATTCCGTTATTAATTCAGGTATCCATCAATCAGGCAACTCTCAGATATGAAAGACAGATTTATTCATTAGAACAGATAACAGACAGCAACTATATATGTTAGTAATATTGCTGCACTGTTTCTTCATCCACAGATATTCATAAACAACGAGTGGCATGATTCAGTCAGTGGTAAAAAATTTGCAGTTTTCAACCCTGCAAATGAAGAGAAAATCTGTGAGGTTGAAGAAGGTGACAAGGTAGGATTTTTCTTTCTTGCTTTAACCCTAGGTTTAAATTCAATTTTGTGTCTTAAAATCAGGAACACAACTGTCCATCTGTATTCATGTAAACCTCAGAGATGTACCTACTTCATTCTGTGTACCTTATTCTGCAAATATAATTCTTAGCTTTTTTACTATGCCTTCATGGTTTTTTTATAAATCAACAGTGACTCAAATCAACTGTGATCAGTAACATAATTTGATCAAGGTTTTTTGTTATTTTTTCCTTCTTCCTTATACAGTGATGTAATCTGATCATTGCTCATTGACACAAGGCTTTTCCTTATAGGTAACATGAAATGGACAAATACTGATTATTTTCTCACACAGACTGTGCAAAGATGATCACTGTCATCAGAATTTTTAGCTATAAATTTGTCTTCTCAGTACTAAACCTTTCAAAAGTTTGATTTTGTGAAAAATGTATTAGAACTTGGTCCTAAAAAGACTCTGAAGCTGAAAGTAACCTGCCAAATAGACACTAATTCCACCAAAACTTGTTTCCATACAACATGTTGAATTCGTGAGTTTGAGCAGAGAGCTAGAAAGATTGCTGACACCTGTAAACAAGCATTTTTAATACTTATGAGTTTTCTTAGTGGGAAATTACAAACATGCTATTTAAACAAAGACATATGGAATATCTAAGCTCTCAAACAAGCAGTTCTGGGTTTTTGTTATAATTATGTATTTTTCTGCTAAAAAGGATTTGCCTTGTGCTTCCATGTAGTTTAAAAGTAAGTTATCAGTTGGGTGCAGGGAGAGGTGCAGTTTTTTAAACAGAACAGACAATATTGCTTAAATCATTTTAAAACCAATGACAAAATAAATTTTTGTTATAAAGTCTGAGAAAGTAAGTATGAGAAGTGAATATTTTATTTCCAGTCCACAGGGTTACAAAAACTGTTGATTGTGACTCCAAAAATTTTCTGCTTGTATTTTCAGAATATTTTAATATACAAAGAGTCACTCTGAAATTAAATGCTCTTGAGACATACACAGAAACCCTGTTCATTCAATATAGCTGAATCTTACTCTGTTCTGTAATATCATCATAAATCCTCTAATAAACTTTCACTCATATGCTGTCTAGCGCATAAGCAATAACAACCACACATTATTAAGAAGGGCATAGTGAAAACACTTTTGAAACTTTTTGTTTAGATGTCTGAGAAAGTCTACATGAACATGGCTTTTAATAATTCTACATATCTAATCATGAGTTTTATAAATGCCTTGTTCTTTTCTTTAGTCCCAGTTACCTGTATGTAGTGCTCAGAGTCACTGAGATTATTTCAGGCTTTTTGTCCTCAAAGAATTCTGTAAGCATGCTGTAAACTTCTCAGTGGTATCCCACTAGAACTTTTTATGCTTTTGATATAAAATGACCTCTACTCTGTTCTAGTGTTTAAAAACCAAATTACATTACAAACCAGGTTGGCCTGATATTTGATCATCCTAAAACTAAAGGACTCACGACCTGAAACTGTTGACTTACAATTCAGATTTTTTGTAGCTTTCATTCCTTACAAGGGATCTAACAACTCATTAAATAAAGAGATAATAGTGTTCGACAAACAGGTTTGCTTTCTCTCCAATAATTTTGCAAACTAATGTGTAATGACAACTGCTATTAACTACATTGCCAAGTGAAATGTACAAATCTAGTAAATTACACAGTCATTGTGAACCTAATATTCTAGAGCCTAGTCTTTAGATAATGAGCCAAGAGATTTTAGGAATTTAATTTGTAGGTACAATAGGGTTCACAAAGGGTTGTATGCTGCCTTGCAGCGGTATTTTAAAAAAAAAAAAAGTTGAGATTACAAAGCACAGACACATATGTGGGTGGGAACTGTTTTTCTTTCCATTTGATGGCTCTTTCAAGCTACATTCACTAATCCTAAAGGCTCCCAGTAATAATAAAGCAGCTCAACAAGTGGTTAGTGGGATGTAAAGTAAATGTACTTCTGTAAAAACTCTAAGCTGGCTCTGAAAGGAGCTATCAGTCTTTATACTCATGGTTTAGATTTATGTACAAAATTAAATTTCCTACAGTTGAAGAACGTATCTTTTATTCTTACTTTTCCTTCACAGCCCTATGTTAGATTTATATAATTTTTCTTGGGTTTAATTATTTCTGCATTTGTAGTAGAAAGAACACATGGCACTGTATTTAGTTTTACTTTATATCATTCACGTAAACACAACTTCTGTTTTCCCCTTGTTCTTCTCCAGTAAAGGCTAAGGTATACCCCCAAGTCATATTGCAAAGCTGTAGAATATTTTTGATAGAAAGACATGAAAACAAAACAGAATTAATTAAATATTAATTGAATGACTTTTTCTGGGTCACAGATAAATGATGAGGTAATTGATGACATTCTGACAGATTCTGAAGAACAGCAATTCTTTTTAATCTGCTGGATTTCAGCTACCTGATGTAGATACCTCGTCAGTATTACTCTATAGCAATTGTAGCATAGTAAATATTTGTGGAGCTCCTTCCTATCTTGACCTAAATTTCCTGGAAAGAACTTTGGAAAGCTTTGTAGGCCTCCCGTCTAGCAGGTCTGTGCTGAGCTTTGCAAGCCACGTACCCACCCCACTCCCAACTCATAAAATTACTTGTTGGCTACCAACATCAGTTAAAGATTCAGGAGCAGGTTCACATTTAGAACTACTGACTTCAGTGTTGACTTAGTTAACTTTGCTGACTTAGTCAGCCATGACAATGATTTCCCCAGAGGAGACTTTAACAACCACCAGTACAAAAGAAAAGTTTGAAAAAAATCCTTTAAACAAAGCATGAAAATTGTTCAGGGAAATATGTCATGTATAGATTCCTCCTTTTTTTTTCCCTTTAAATTTGTTTTTATCTAGAATAAGCTTCTTTTTTATGGCACTGTTTTCCTGAGACAAATTTTTCAACAGTTGTGGAGTCCAAAATGCAAAATACCAAAACCTTTTTTCAAGAGATTTTTAACTGGCTTTGTTATATGCTGGAAGATACTTAGACAGGAAAGAGTTTAATATAATTCATTGTAGATTTTCCTGCTATAGCAAAAACCAAATTATAAATATTAAAAACATTATGGACTGATGAATTAGCCTGCTTAACGCAAAGTCTAATACTTAGACTTCAGAATATTTAGGCTTAGCATTTTAAATCTAGTAGGTTAGTCAGTTGCTAAAATTATTTTAAATAAAAATATTCGTTCAAACTTCCAAAAACAAATACATTGATTTATCTTCCTCAACAATAGATTTATGCTCATTTTATGGAACTTTCTAAGGAAGAAATTTTTCTAACCTTGTCTTCATCACACCACCAGATACTTCCAGGTAATATTGAGTACTTAAATATTTATCTCAGAGATTTGTGTATCTCTTTTGACATAAAAGAGATTAAATTGCATCAGCAGTGTGATTGATGGGTGTATCCCCACTTACAGACACTAGACAGTAGAGGGTTTGAAAATCTAAATTTTAAAAATAAAGGTCCTTAATATGGTTTTATTTTAGAAGCTTTGGAAACTCATCTGTTTTTCATACATATTCACATTGTTGAAATGATAACAGAATTGTTTGAAAGAAAATAACTCATGTCTTTAAAAAAGATTATAATAATTCTGAATAGATTTGGGCTGGTGATTCTTACTGATCTTGCAAATCACCTTGCTTGGTTAACAACCAACAGAACTGATGACAGAATGGAATATTGATTACAAAAATTTGTTTTCCCCACAGGCAGATGTAGACAAGGCTGTTGAAGCTGCTAGAAAAGCTTTTGAGCTTGGGTCACCCTGGCGTACAATGGATGCTTCAGAGCGAGGAAGGCTCTTGAATAAACTAGCTGACTTAGTTGAACGAGATCGACTGATTTTAGCTGTGAGTATGATATGTGCACAAAAAGACAGGGGAGAAAATGTCTATATCCTGGTTTTTAAAGAACAACATAAGCAAGCATAAAATGCTAAATCTGTAGAAAGCCAGACCGTCTCAATACGTTTTTCATCTGTATTGCAAATGGACCTCATTAAACTGCCTTGCACTCCAGTCTGTTAACACCCACATCCACAGTATACTTCAATGTTTGATTAGCTTTCAGGTGATACTTAAACCACCTACAATCAATGGAGTTTCAATTTTTAATTCTTCAGAACACACTAAAAAAGACCACATGCTTAAAGCTTGTCTAAACCAAGGACTGAATCCTAAACTCAAAGCCTGTCTCAGTGCTTACAGGAAATACAAGTCAGAACTGGCAGAAATTTTTAATTCATGGCTATATATTTTGTTGTCACTTGTCCTTCATTAACTCCAGCTTGCAGCTGGCAATGAGTGAAAAGGCTTAATCAGAACCAAAGGCAACAATTAATTATTAGTAGGAAGAAGATGGGGAGCAGGCAACGATGTCCTGTCTTTACCATCTATATGTTGGCCATTTTTCAAGTCTTTACAGCAGACACATAAGCTGTAGCACCACCACCTACTGATTGTCCTCTAAGGCAGGAAAGAATATTTCAAATAGAAATGCACCATATATATATGATAAAGTGTAGTGTGCCTTTGTCTTGTTTTAAACCCTACATATGATGCTGTTATTAGAATTATTTCAAGCACCTTCTAGAATTAACATTTAGACAGGATAATTGTTCACACTGTCCCAAAGATGAACCCTGGTTTTCTGCTAACAATGTCAAAAAATTTAAGAGGGCAGGAAGAGTGCACAACATTCAGGACTACCACTCAGACTGATTTAGTCACAATTTTAAATATTCAGCCATTAGCTACAAACCACACCATGGGTAAATTCAGAAAAATTAATCCTTCAAAATATGTAAAAACTGAAAAAAAATCTATTGCCCTTCTATTGTCCCTGGAGCTGTAGTATCGGAAGACACTTGTATGTGTCCCGAACAGACTTTAAAAAAAAAAAAAAGAAAGAAAGACAATTCAGAGAAACTGAGGTTATTTCCTTGAACTCTAAAATCTACAAATGTCAAATTTACACTCTTCTTCAACCAAGTTATTTCTCTAAATGAATCTTGTCACCTTGATAGGGACTGGTAATCATCTACCTCCTTAGGAGAAAACAGGTGGCTAGAACTTGTGTACTTAACAATGCTAGATTTATTGGAGTTGAGAGAGACAAAATTTTAAGAGTTACATTTTTAATAGGAAAAATATCCCCCCCCTTGTCAGTTAAATTCTAGATAAATTAGCATTTACAGCCTGAGGCATTATACGTGCAAAGGTGGAAAATAATCTTTTTTCCACAGGAAAACTGAAAGGTTCGTTTTCATTCCAATTTGTCGTTTTCATGATATGAAAGTACTGCTTTGCTCTAGGGCCCCTCCCAAGTTTCTATTTTACTGAATTTGTTTTTATTTCTTACACCTTACTCACTTAGCAACTCCTCTTTTAGATAAGGTGTGTTTGAATTAAGCAATTTTCAGACCATCAAAATGAAAAGAGATTTTTTTTTCTACTCATATCTTATCCAAACTGCAGAACTTGTACAACAGAATAGCAAATTGCTTTGTAAACACTAGAGGTCAAAATAGATGCCTAAAGATCATCGCAAAGGCATTTTTGTTCACCTGGCCAAGATGAAACTTACTCCCTTTCATATAATAATAAGATGCCTCTCCTGAAGCTCCAGATCCACTAAAAATTTAGTTTCTTAGGTTTAAGTCTGCTGTGATGTTCACAGCTATAGAGTTCACAAATTTGAGGCCAGGGAAAAATTTTCTCCCATGTCCAAACAGAAAAATACACTGCTAGATATATTACCTAGAATGGTAAGGGCACATCAAATTTATTCAGTTCCTTGTTGCAGAAAGCCATCAAGCATCAAAGCTAAATGACAAAGTACAAGCAAGCATGAGAACCATTATCACTATTTGCTATTAACTTTGTAATTGATGTCTGCAGACAATGGAAGCCATTGATGGTGGGAAACTGTTTTCCGCTGCCTATCTGATGGATTTAGGTGCCTGTATCAAAACATTACGCTACTGTGCGGGCTGGGCTGATAAAATCCATGGGCGTACTGTTCCAATGGGTGAGTAGTTTTGAGATAACAAAAGCACAGAACTGAAGCTAAAGTGCTCTGTAAAAAAAATGCCTTTTTCTAAAAGTTATGGAACACAAAAAAATCTCAAATGGAAATTATTTTAGATGGCTCTTAATATAGTTTATTTACCATAGTGCTAATTTTAAAGATTAAATGCATTTATTCACATTTATTTCTCATTCTACACACCACTAGTAAGTATTGTTTATTGGCCAAAAGATTTTAGCCTCTATGTACATCTAAGAGGTCTGGTAGGCTACTTTTGCATAGCAATGTATAGTTTATGCAGTACAGTATGGTACATTAAAGGAAACCAGGTATTGGCTTATTAAAGCTAAGATTAGCACAAAAAGTAATATTCATTTGTTATTAGATAATTTATTAGGAAGAGTATTAAGATATAACAGTGAAGAAACATTCATTTATTTTGCTGAAATTTTATTCCATTCTCTCTCCCATTAAGAAACTCTGTGAAAACATTGTTTCTAGCTGCCTTCTTGCAGAAGGACAAAGAAAAGAACGGTAATAAAGAAGGAATTAAGGAAAGCTAGAGTGATAAATACATCCAACTTTTTTGCATCACATAGATCTTTATACTAGGCTTAATGGAACACATGTTTATTTGAATCAAAGAGAATTTTATACTTAATGGATTTGATTTAAGCTAAGTTCTAATATTAAAAAATGTCTGATATGTACCTAGGATTGCCAGTAGCTTTTAAAAGAACACTTTCAGAAAAAAAAAAAGGTGATAAAAGAAAAAAGAAATGAAGACTGCTCACTGGTGTGCTGTGCATACCATATTGAGAAGCAGGAGTTTCACTGCAAAAAGTCAGTCAGATTTGCAGATTCAAACTTTGGAGCTATGAAGAATGTAGATATTAAATCCAGATGTACTATACGGTTGGATTTTTGCATAGCTAAGATTTTGAAAATATAATGTATAAGTAAAAATGTATCCAGCTAAGTTTGGTATCCAACTTTATCTTCCTTCTGATTTAACTGTTTCTCACAAATGTTTTGTCTGAATGTCTAATTTATTTCTTCTTTTCTTAGATGGAAACTTTTTTACATTTACAAGGCATGAGCCTATTGGTGTGTGTGGCCAAATTATTCCCGTAAGTCAGACCTATTTATATAAAACACAAATGTTCCTGTTACAAATGGAAATGCCTTTGAAATTTTGCCTATGCAAGTGTATTTGTCAAGAATTACGAATCAGAAACCTTCAGGCCCTGAAAGACAGAGACTATCCTAAGTACTCATCAAATTCTGCAACATGCAGTTTTTGATGAGTCAATCCAGTCCCAGTCTTGTCTTTCTCCTACCTGTTAATGAAAAGAAAATAAATCTCAAAAGATTGATTGATGGATTAGTTTGAAAGACAAAACTGTGTTTTGTGGAAGGTGACAGAATTAGAAATAAACAAACAGGAGAGGGTAATATATACAGCCTATAAGCAATAAGATATTTTGGACCTGGCATATCTGTTCTGCTCTGTTCAGCATCCAGACAGTTGGATCATTATTTATGACTAAGACTGGTACCAATAACAACACAAAGAATGTGTCCAGTAAGCAGAGTGATATTGAGCCATATGTTCCCTGGCTCCTGTTTGGAGTGCCTAACCTTCCAATTTTGAAGTCACTTATTTTACGTGAAGGTTCAAAAGACCTTCCTGAGTCCAAACATCCAAAATGTTGACAAACTCAAACTTTAAACTTACATGTGATGTCTACACGGCTTCAACTGGTTGTTGTGAAAGTGGTTTCAAGCCCTTAACAGCCCTAATCCACTCACCTCTTTGCTCATGGTAGGTGTGAGCAGACTGATCTGGCCTGCTCAACACCTTACCAGATTCTGATGTAGTCAGCTTGTCTATCAGGTTCGCTTAAATGTACAATTCCCACACATATTCCTGATGTCTTTCAGTTGAGCTTGCAGATTTGCCATCTTTTCAGACCACCACATTGATTTAGAGAACATCACTGGAATACATTTGGATCCAGACTGTAGGAGAGTTTGTGAATCTGCTAGTTTAGCTTCTCTTGGAATCAGGCACAACATATCTCAAGTAAAGCACTCAGAGTCAAAATATGCTAAGAAACTAGAAACACTATATGTGGCCACTTCTAAATAAAATTACATCATGGAAGTGTAAGAAGTCAGTATAAAAATTGGCTTGCCTTACGAAATGTTTGAAGACTTCTGATTATACTTTTATTTTCTCTCCACTGAAATGTAAACCAACCAAGTTGGAGGTTTTCATGGAAATCAAAAATTTTGAAGTCTATATGAACACTGTGAAAAATTCACCGAGCTCATAATTTCCATTTTTCTTAGAATCACACAGTTCTACTTTAATGATGAAAATCCAGAAAACCCTGGAATCCTTCCCTTTTTTTGTGGTTTTTTTTTTGTGTGTGGTTTTTTTTTTTTTGTGGTTTTTTTTTTTGTTGTTTTTTTTTTTTTTGGGGGGTGCAGATGGATGAGACTGAAATATGGTAAGGGGAGAGATAAAGTATGTATACTCCTCTAAGTCTTTCTGGCATAATAGGTAACTGTTAACTGCCTCTTCCCCCACCTTCCATAGAGATGAGACACACTGCATCTTTTATACTGAGGGTCATGAGCTCAATGCTTCCAAAACTATTAGAAATATTCTCAAGGTGGAAAGCCATTTCTCCCCCAGCCCCATTGTCCCTCTTCCT